TATTAGAAAAACTAACCAGCCTACAGAGTTTGTGTAGTGTTTACAGTAAAAACAAATGTTTATCAAATATTGTCTGTTAAAAGTAATTGTGGACCCCCAAGAGACTGCCAAACTGTAAAATTCAACTAGTGATGTGACGTTCATAAACGATGCAAATCTTTTCAACGGCTCTTTACAACGAACAATAGGAGCCAAGTCGCGGGCAGTAACGAGCCGTTTGTAGTTTTATTTATTTTATTCCTCATATAATCTTTATTTGTTCTTAAATCGCTCCTGCTTTGCTTTTTCACAGAAAACAGGCAGAGCAGTGGAGTACAGAAGCTCGTGAGAAAGCGGGGTTTCTGCTTGGCAAAACACATGGTTCCACCCACGTTACGTGATGACATCATCACGTCGCCGTACGTGATGACGTATTTCCCTACATGATGACGTAACTCGTTCAAAATCGAATGGCAACTTTTGAACGGCTCTATGAAACAAACGGCTCCCCAAGATCCGGATCCCTTCAAAGAGCCCATTTATACCATCACTACATTCAACATCAGGCTTCCAGAGGAAAGCAGATGAAGACTAGCCCCCCACCCCCCACCCATAGTCACGCCCCTACGTAGAGGTCCAATTTGTTATTAGGCTTTAATAAGCTTTGTTGTGTAAATTAAGCATTTTTGGCTGAATAAAATGAAATGTGAGTGAAAATACTGTATTTGCTTCCCTGTWGTTGAATGATGGGTTTAATGTGAACGTTTTGAATCACTAAGGAAACCAGTGGTGGACAAAGTACTCAACTCTTGTACTTGTGTAAATGTATTGATACTCAGGGTCAAATCTACTCAACTACAAGTAAAAGTTACTCCATCAAAAATCTACTCAAGTTAAAGTACTGAAGTACTTATTTTTAAAAATACTTAAGAATTCAAATTTAAAATTACTCAAGTATTCAATTAAATTTTCTACTATCAACACATTGCTGTATCGTTTTCAGAGTGAGTTTACAGAACCTTGTAGCTCTCAGAAACCACCTGATGTATTGACACATACAACCATGATGRAATCACYGGACTCAGAGGATGTTCATTCAGTTGTTTAATTTTATAGAAAAAAARGCAGATCAAAGACATGACACAAACTAAAGTCGTTTCAAATGGCAACTTTCGAGCTGAAACAATAAAAGAAATCAAGAAAAAGTGATTCCATCATTTTGGTAGGGTTTGTAGAACCAGTCTTCTCAAATTCTACACCACCTGTAAAGACYTCAGCATAAAAATGCAATAAAGTGAGTGGTGAGTTCTTAAATGCACRAATGTAGTTTATTCGTAGTGAACTAATAAGATGTTTAAACTGATAGGGACTATTTTTCAGTCCTAAAATCTCAAACATAGAGCTGAGATATGATCATGAGTGTGCTGGTTTCTCTATTCTCTTCAATCGTCTTCATTGCTGGGTTCTGTCGTTGTGTCCTTGGGCAAGACACTTCACCTGCCTTATCTACTGATGGTGGTCAGCTGGTCTGGTGGTGCTTGTGTATGGCAGCCTCACTTCTGTCAGTGTGCCCCAGGGCAGCTGTGGCTACAATGTAGCTTACCATCATCAGTGTGTGAATG